GACGTGTGCTCTTCCGATCTACCATGAGTAATAGCCTGGTATTTTGTTTTATGGTTACATTTATCATATGTATGCAATAAATAATCACTGTTAAATATTGATTTTCTTCTTTTAAAAACCATTATAATTAGAAAATTATAAACTCTCGTACGAAGTCTCCGTAAGTCGAATTTTCATACGTTAATCCTCTTTTACTCGAATTTCGATAAGTCGAAAACTCTACAACTTGAACAATTTTTCCCTTGAGATTCGAGTTATCGAGGTTTGACTATATTTGGAAATCGCGAGGTTTGAGAGAAAAATGTTTCAGACAAAAGTTGTAGGGGGACATAAGATGATAATATTGGTTTAACCCTGAGTGGTAAAATGTTTTGGTTAAGTAAATCTCGAATTATAAAGCTTGAAAGCTATAAACGTTGACACATGTTGTCAAGCTCATGATCCTGAACAACATTCAAAAGGTTTCAGCCATTGTTCAGACATCTTAGATAATGCTAATGCCGGTGGTACTGTAACTTTCAAGCTTTATAACTCGAGATATACTTAACCAAAAAACATTTTATCTATGTGTTTTGAAAAGTTTTCGAAATAAGCTACAAGAATATGCAACGAAAAATGGGGGGTTCCATTTAAAAAATTCAAAGTGACCTTGTCCTGACCTTGACGACGCCACTCAGGGTCAAATTAATGTTATCATCTTATGTCCCCCTCGAAACCCTACAACTTTTGTTTGAAACATTTTTCTCTCAAACCTCGCGATTTCCAAATATTTGACTGTCAAATATAAAATGGGACACCCTGTATATTCTAGTAGATAATTATACAAAATTATATACAGTGTATCTGTCACACAAGAGTGTCATCTGCATATCTGAAAGAAAAATTATTTTGAAGAAACCTATGGATTGATTTAAAGTGCACTAAAAGCACTATTACACATTTACTTCGTTCTTAAGTCGTCCAGGCGTTGTCGAGAATTTGCTGGTACCATTTTGGCATACTTTCTATTATATAAGATTTTCCGTATATTATTGCGGTTCTTAACAATAATGGAGACTGCATGACTAAAATAAATGCATAATAGTGCTTTTAGCGCACTTTAAATCAATCTATATTTCTTAAAAAATTTTTTTTCTTATTTGCTATTTGGTACTTTCTATAAGATTTTCCGTATATTATTGCGGTTCTTGACAATAATGGAGACTATACGACTAGGTACTAATTAAGTGACAGTACTAAGTGAATGAATAATAGTACTTTTAGTGCACTTTAAATAAATCTATAGATTTCTTAAAAATAATTTTTCTTTCAGATATGCAGACGACACTCTTGTGTGATAAACTGTAAGCGTTTTTTTTCGCTTTTCTGATTTGAGAAAAATTTTGGAAATCACATATTTTTATCACAACGAAAAATAACACTGGCGTCTCTAGTACAAAGCATAGTAGTCTCCTCTATTCTTCAACGAATACTAATAGTAGAGCTTGATGCATTAGTGTTATTTGAGTAACACTATAATGTCGGCAGTATAACTTTCGTTGTTCAAGAAATTTTTAATGAAAAAAACTAATCATTACTCGTTGTATACATATCACTATTTTTAAAATTTCTTTCAACTATAAAAATTTATAACAATAATTAAATGAAGATTCTCATTTTAAAATATCAAAATCTTAATACAATCTGAAACTTCTTCATCCAGGATCAAATAAACAAAGTTATGTTTTATATAAAAACTATCAATCTTAACCTAAAAATTGTGATGCCGCTTTAATACAACGTATACTTTTTAAAATATTTACATCTTATGTATAGTTAATCTCTTCGGTACGGCGCAAGTACATCGCGTAGTATTATTTGATAGCCGAGACAAGTCAGACAAGCAAATCAAATCACCTTTCCTAGCTATCGATTTTAGTCAACGAGCGATTATATCTATGTATACCTTTTGTGGCTGTCGACTTTAGTCGACGATCCGGACGATCGTACCGAAGAGGTTAAATATAGTTAATATTCCGTGTATATTCTAAATATAACTTATTTTATTCTAAAATAATCTTGATACTTTTATTAGTAAGTCTAAAATAAAATAAATTGTAATTCACTCTTATCTCACAAATTGATGTACAAAGTAAAAAAATACAATACAAATTTTTGCAAATTATATTTAAATAGAAGAATTTTCAATAAAATATTTGCAACAGATAAAATAAACTTATAAAATATACCAAAACCTATCTTCTTGTTTCATAGAGAAATTCATATTTATTTCTAGGTATATATTATTAATTTGAAATAATTTGTGACAATAGCTGTAAACATAACTTATTTCGTTATTGCACAATTCATTTCGTTATGTATAATTTATTTTCAAATATGGTTATTTATTAGGTCTGTTTTTATAGCTGAACTGACTACATTAGTTCAGAGTTTATCTTCCAATATAGAAAGAGAAAAATAAACTGTGAACTAGTGCAGCAGTTCAGCTATTAAAAAAAACAGCCTATTACTGAAACAAAAAAGTTCTCAATATATTTTATCGATTGTAAATACTATTTTATTAAAGCACATTTTTGTAATATATATCTATGTATATTTTGTAAAAATTTATTATGTATTTTCTCGCTTCCGACGTCATAATCTGAAGTAGTAATGGTGACTAAATAGAATGCTTAAATTCTAGATCCTAATCGCTCAATCAATTGATAATGAAAAATTAAATATTTCAACAAAAAATTTTCTTGTAAATATTTATTTTCTCCAGGAAACATGTACGTTATCTGTTCGATATCTTTGAACGCAAGTAGTTTGCATCCAAGGAGTACCACCCTTGCATTTGTATTGAAGCAATCCAGCGACCGCGATCATAACACCATTGTCTATACAGAACCGCTCATCCGTCGCATAAAGAGTCGCATTCCTTTCCTTACACATGACATTCATCATTTCCTGCAGTCTTTCATTACATCCTACACCACCCACGATCAATACCTCATTTGATCCTACATGCGCCATTGCACGCTCTACAATATTGTTCAATGTAAACAAAAGGAAACAGGAGGAAAAGTTAAGAGAAAAAAAATTATATATTTAGAGTTACCTGTAATTTCGATGAGCATGGCAAATACAGTCTCTTGCAAAGAGAAACATAAATCTTCGGGAGTAAACGCTTTTGTTTCAAGCCATTTGGAAAGATGTTCTTCAATGTGACTTAAGATACCAGAGAATGATACATCCATCCCTTTCACAACATATGGTAGTAATATCAGTTTTTCACCTCTTTTTAAATTCATAAAATTTTAATTTAATTCAGTGTAAAATTAAAATTAATTTTTATATAGACTAAACAATGATCACATAAAATTTACTTGCTTTTTTGCTAACTGCTCTATATTATATCCAGGGGAAGGATTATTGGAGAGCTTTAATAACCTTGCAAATCTATCCAGGCAATTTCCAACTGCTATATCAATTGTCTCACCAAAAATGCGATATCTTTGTCGAGAATATGCAATTATTTGAGTATTTCCACCAGAAACATACAAAACAGTAGGATTTTTAGTACCAGTGATTAAACGTCCCATTTCAATGTGGCCAATACAATGATTGACAGCAACCATAGGTTTATTGTATAATTGAGCGACAGTTCTAGCTACTAAAGCAGTAACTGTCAATGGTGCTCCCATTCCTGGTCCCTTCGTATAACAAATAACATCTACATCCTTCAAATTAATCCTTGCATCATCTAAGGCTTTTTGCAAAACATCTAATACATGTTTTCTATGATGTTGAGCTGTTTCTCGAGGCAAGAAACCTAATACAAAAATATACAGATTACATGTTAATATACTTATATATTATAACTGTTTAGAATTTTTATAAATATAAAGTAGAATAAAATCTATTAAAATGTTTAAAAATGGCTAATAAATTTTAAATATTAAATAACTAAAGAGTCAATCGCTATAATACATACTATTTTTATTACTTATAGCAATATTGTATTAATTTAAATAAGCTTAAATTAATAGCATTTATATAATAAATAATAAAAGATTAAGGATAAAATATATATCTAATGTAATTAAGATATAATATAGGTTAATATACAGAACATAATGCCCTTTATATTAATATAAAAATAACTAAAATTAATTTTTAGAATCACAATTACAGTTCATAAAATATAAAAATAAAATTAATTCTTATAACTTTAAATGTATTTTAAATTAAGCACAATTCAATTAGATTTAAAAAATATATTTTTTTATAAGAATATATATACTGTATTATTAAAATTATAAAAATATTGCATAATTTAATTTAACAAATTTTATTAAATCTATTTCTTTCTATATTTTCTTTCCTCTCTATCTTCTAACTGTAAAAGTATTGTTAATCTGTATTATTATAATAATTGTATGTACTGTATGTAATAATACACAGTATTATAATAATTAATTAGAATCTGTTTAAAACAAACATATAATGGTCAAATTAAATAAATAATAAAAATTAACAAAATGTTCTATTGTATGTGTAGAATGTAGACATTCTTCTGAGTAAACTTTTTAATTTTTGAAAACTAAATTTACTTAAACTCGTTTATTGGCCTGTTTTGAATAATTTTCTTTATTAACAAAAATTAACTTGCATTAATAAATATTTAAAACATTTAATATATATACAGGGTGTCCCAAAGCTCATAATATTTCAGGCGTAAAAAAGAATAAAATTTTAAACTAAAAATTCTTTTACCAATTTTGGCTCAAACAATTTTATTTACAAAAATATTAACGAATAAAGTTAATTAATCAGATCGCGCTTAGCCGGAGTACAAAAGAATGTATCATGCAATTGGTTAACTTTATTCGTTAATAACTCTGTAAATAATAGTCTGAGCCAAAATTGATAAAGGAACTTTTGGTTTAAAATTTTATTTTCTTTCGCGCCTTGAAATATTAATTAAAAGTTTTGGGACATCCTGTATGTTAGTACATTTACGAAGTATTACTTTGAGGTTACCTTCTCCTGGTGGAGTTATATAAGTATGTCGTACGTTCGATAATATGCATTGGTCACGAATTATTCCTATACCCAATTTATTTGCGCTACCTTCAAATCCAATAGCTGTAACCATTTTTCATAAGTTTTCTGTTTCGTAGATTATAAATAATGGATCGCAAATACATGTATGTGATGTATGTAACGTATACATACAATCCACAGATTATCCAAGCAAATAGATTAGCAACTCTCTGAGTTTGCCTTGGAACATAGAGTCCCTAGCTAAGGGAGCGTTCCCACTGAGCGCGTCACGCGTCGCGTTGTTGTCTGTCGCGTCACGATTAATCTATAAAAATATTCCATTTTATTGCATCATTTGTCACGCGACTCCTTGCACGACGCATTGATTAGGTTACTCGACATTCTAGAGATAAAATAATCTTTTTTTGTATAAAAT